GAGATGCTAGCCACCATTCTTTTGCCCAACCCTATGGGATTCTGATTATATATTTGACATCACGTTCAGACCTTTCAATTTTAAAATAACACCCCAATTGAATCTCATACAGTTCATCTTGATATCACACTATTGAGAAACATTGTTTTAGATAAAAAGACAAGATGTATTCCCACATTGAGAAGACCTTTTTGAAGTTCATGTCTCTGTTGGCTTTCTTTCCATATATTTAAAGTTGGAAAAAACTCCCTGTTTGAGACCAGTTTATTCCTCCCATTCATTACCAGCAAATTCCTCTGTTCCATCATATCATGTCTTTTCTAATACCTTCAATTTCTTTTTTTATATTTTATTTATTATTTTTATTTTATGTATATGAGTATGTTGCCTGTATGTGTGTAAGTGCACCAGTATCATGCAGTGCCCACAGAAGTCAGAAGAAGGCATTGGATTCCCCTAGAACTGGAGTTACAGAGAGTTGTTAGCCGCCATGTGGGTGTTGAGAATCGAACCCGGGTCCTCTGCAAGAGCAGCCAGTGCTCTTAACCTTTTAGCCATCTCACCAACCCCTACCTTCAGTTTCTTTAAAATCCAGTAATAGATTCTTCATGTACTTTGGATACCAGATAAGTAAATGAATAAGTTTATTATAAAAACTACAGATTTTGACCTATACACATTACTGATATCTTGATAATGGGCCAGAACTATTAACTTTTCTTAGAAGACAAGTTGACTGTCAACCCAGAGTATTCAGCAAACACTGAAAATCTTTTATAGTCATAAGTAAGTTTTGTTTTAGAAAATATTTGACATCTATATATGCAGTGACTGAATTTTATTTGCATAGGGTTATGCATAAGTGATTATTAACTAAGCAGTTAAACAGTCATTCCAGTTTCCATTCTGAATACTATATCTCTGCTGAGTTCTGTAGTCAGTTGGCAGACATTGATGGCATTTTATCTAAATTTTGTTGGAAATAAATTTGTATACTAATTTCAAAATTAATTTCTGCATTTCATGAAATTTAAATCATCTCATAGTAACTCATTTTAGAAGATTGGAGGTTAAGAAAGCTAAAATAAAATTAAGTAATATATAACACAGTGTTTCTATGTCTTAATTGTCTCGGTTTTCTAACATTTATTTTGATAAATGTTGATGTTACAATATTCGCTTCTGAATTCAAAGATATTCTGTATACTCCCATCTTTGTCTGTCATGTAAACTCATTTAAATTATGGTCTATCCAGGTGCTAAAATGAACTACTAACTTGAATGAGTTACTATGTCTTCTAGGACTTCAGGCTTCCCCTTATAAATTGAAAATTAATTTATATCAGAAGTCAATAAACTTCATCTAGTTGGACAAATACCATCTGTTTTTAGTTTTAACAGCTATGGACAGTCTTTAGATTTTTAGTGAGTTGTTTGGAGAAAAAAAGAAAAAAAAGGCCAAAAATGCCTTTATGGTCCATAAGCCTAAATTATTTACTGTCTGACTTTTAAAATATTTTATTCATTATTTTTATTTTATGTGTATGAGTGTATTGCCTGTGTGTATTGTAAGCTACATGGGTGCTGGGAATCGAACCCAGGTCCTCTGCAAGAGCAGATGGTGCTTTTAACCCCTGAGCCATCTCTCCAGCTTCCCTGTCTGACTTTTTAATATTTGTAAGTATTGTTAAAAAATTTATAATACTGAGAAACTTGGTAAATAAGTCTTATTTCAATAATTAAACTGTCTTGATCCTTTAAAATTAGTTCTGGCCGGGCGTGGTGGCACACACCTTTAATCCCAGCACATGGGAGGCAGAGGCAGGCAGATCTCTGTGAGTTCAAGGCCAGCCTGGTCTACATAGTGAGTTCCAGGACAGCTGGGGCTACAGGGAGACCTTGTCTGAAAAAGACCAAAAAAAAAAAAAATTCTGTGTTGCTTGAGGAGACAACAGTTCAAGAACCTGAATGTTTCACCAACTATCTTGTTATATGTGAGAAAGCAAGCTTAAAAATTTTAAATTCCCTTTGTTGAGTAAATTTTCTGGGATAATTAATATATACAGTAGTACCTTTGGGATTGAAATATTTGAAAGTACTAAATGATTGGCATATATTTATTTATCCTATTAATAAAATAGTTATTTTCATATTTTATTGTCTTTTTTCATATTTTATTTTCTTACATTTAGATAGAGGCTGATTTGGGATATCCTGGAGGAAAAGCAAGAATTATTCATAAGGAATCTGATATCATTACAGCTTTTGCTGTTAATAAAGTAAGTACATAGATATTTTTCTTTTCTTTGACTATTAAGTATCCATAGTTGGAAAATACCTTGTCTTATGAGTTTTTCTTTGTCAATATTCTTTCCAAAGTATACTTCCTACTCCTTAAGTTATAATCTGAGCAAGATTTTCATGTTTTAAAATGATTACAAAATTTATATTTTATTATCATATAATTTGGGTAATGTAACTGACAAAATGACCCAGAAAAGAATATCAAGCATTTGACTATGAAGCAATAACTTTAGAAGGTAAAATACTAGATCTGATATTAGTTAATCCAGAAGAGATTTCTGTATGCTTATGAGTTCATTGAATGTGATTCTAACTACTTGATAAAATTTAAACTTACAAAATTCAGAAATTTTCCCTCTTTGACTTACTCCTTCCGTAGTTACCCAATTTGTATGTTTTCTTTGTGTTCCTTAGCTTTCTACTTAATATCTGTGTTAGACGTACCTATAAGCTCCAATAAAAGAGGTAGACTTTAGTGTTCCAGGTTTGAAATTTGTCTTAATCATTATTTCCCACTTCTATTTCCCCTCTTACCGTACAACATAGTTTCTGGTCCCTTCTTGTTGTTTTCCTTTCTTTTGTTTTCCATTTAAAAGGATAGAATTGTGAATTTTCACATATACCAACAGGATATGTAAAGATAATGTGTATATGCAAATATTTGTTTACTTCTCATTTGACATTGCTATTTTTTAATATTTTTTTTATCATTTTTATTTTATGTGTATGCATGTATTGCCTGCATGTAGGTAAGTACACCGTGTTGTGCAGTGCCCACAGAGGACAGAAAGGCTGTCAGATCCCCAGGAACTGGAGTTACGAATAGTTGTTAGCTGCTATGTGGGTGCTAGGATTCGAACCCAGGTCTTCTCTAAAAACAACCAGTGTTCCTAACCACTGAGCCATCTCTCCAGCCCCCTTGACATTGCTATTTTAAGACAGCATCTCCCTGTGTTACCTAGCCAGGCCAGTCTTGAACTCCTGGCCTCAAGTGATCCTCCTCCCTCAATCTCTTGAATAACTAGCTCTATAAGCATGCTACCAGTAAATGTCATATGTATATATCCTATGACAGCACTTAGAAACCCTTTCACCAATTGATTCTTCATCTTCCTATACTATGCCTGTCTTCTCTTTGATTTCACCTAAACAAGTTTAGTCATCCTGTCCTTATATTTCCCTATATCCTTCACCTCATTTCCTTCATAAACATCCTTAAACATCAACTAGGAGGCAGATTTGCAGTTAACCCCTTAGGCAGTTCTCAAGATGTAGTATCTAAATGACATTATATATGTGTGTGTAGATGTGTCAAAAAAAAATTACTGTCAGCACCCTCCTATACCTGCCTTCCTCTAAAGAAAATACACATACATGCAGGCAATACACTCATACACATAAAATAAAAATAATAAATAAAATTTTTTAAAAAGGAAAATAAAGTAACTAAAAATGAAAAGTCATCCACATATATGAAGTATATGCTGCTCACTTATAAGTATGCTTGCTTAATTATTTCACTATATTTGATTGTATTTTTACTAAATTTATAGATGACAATTTCTTGCTTTGCATTTCATGTTTTAAAATGCCATTGAGATTGAGCTTTTCCTCACTCGTTTAGTTGGGAGCTATCTGTATCAAGAACTCTGAAGGGTCTGAACTTTTAATCTTATATTCCAGCTAGCACATTGTTTCATTTTATTAGATGCTATTTAAAAGCACAGTCCAGTTTCAAAGAGAAGGGACAGTTTGTATTTAGCAACACAAGTAATAACTACAAGACGATTGTTTTCACACTAGTTTTTTGAGCAACAGGTGCCAAGCTCTCTGCCACATCCCACAGAGTGACAAAAGAGCAAGCGACAGCTAGTATCTGCACATGCAATAGATTATGTTATGGGAGAGGATTCCTGACTAGGGATCACAGTTATTTTCCCAAGAGTCTGCAGTGGATGTGTGCCTGTGTACCTGACTCTTCTGCATTTTTGAGTTGTACAGATGTTAGGTCAGTCAAAGTAATATAGAAGACTAGAGAAACTGTGGAAGAGGAAGTAAGGTGGTACATGTATTTCCATTTATATTTTGCTTTCTGTTAGATGTACTGAAATTCCTAGACCATAAACATATCTTAAGTTCAAGCTTGTGGTATTTCACTAAAAACTTGTTAAAGTTGATTTAAAATATTAATGTATAAGAATGCTTTTCTGGGTCTACAGAGATGGCTCAGTGGTTAAGAGCACTGACTGCTCTTGCAGAGTACCTTGGGCTCGATTCCCAGCACCCACATGGCAGCTAACAACTGTCTGTAACTCCAGTTCCAGGGACTCTGACACCCTCTTCTCACCTCTGTGGGCATTGCATGACACAGGTGCACCTACCTACATGCAGGCAATATACTCACACGCATAAAATAAAAATAAAGAATGCTTTTCTGCCGAATGTGGTAGCACACACCTTTAATTCCAGCACTCAGTAAGCAGAGGCAGGCAGATCTCTATGAGATTGAGGCCAGCCTTGTCTATATAGCAAGTTCCAGGCCAGCTGGGGCTACATGGAGACCCCTGTCTCAAAAAAAAAAAGTGCTTTTTTTTTCCTATACGTATTATTAGAGATTGTTTTCAGAAGTAGCCTGTATACTTGTTGTGCTTTTAATTTAAATATTAATGTGATTTATTTTTTAGGCAAATAGAAATTGCATAGCAGTCGCCTCCAGCCATGATGTTCAAGAACTGGATGTTTCTGGAATTCTGGCTACACAGATCTATACCTGGGTAGATGATGATGCAGAAATGGAAACCAAAGGGTATCCTTTTAAAAAAAATATTTTATTTATTTATTATTTTTATTTTATGTGTACGAGTGTATTGCCTACATGTGTGTAAGTGCACCTGTGTTGTGCAATGCCTATGGAGAGCAGAAGAAGGTGACAGATCCCCTGGAACTGGAGTTATAGATGGTTGTTACCCATCATGTAGGTGGTGGGAATCGAGCCCAGGTCCTCTATAAGAGCAGTCAGTGCTCTTAACCACTGAACCATCTCTCCAGCCCCAAAGGGTATCCTTATACTTTGTTTTCATTCAGTATTGTAATATGAATGACTACAGCTGTATGGAAGCATGCAGCGAAAACAACCTAACAGGACCGCTCCATGGGTAGAAACAGCAGCTTATTTAGGAACAAACTGCTGAACTGTCTGGGAAGCAGAGAACAGCAGCCAGAAGCTGTGCATGCAGCAAGGGTTTTTATCAAAAATTTGGCAGGGTGGGGGAAAGGGGGACTTGAGCCAGAATAGCCTGATTACAGGGACATCTGGAGGAGATACCAAGAAGCCAAGGGAGGGTCCAGCCTGAGGCTACAGTCTCCTGACAGGCCATGCCCTGGAGTCAACAGGGTTTCCAAGAAATGCCAGGTTTTTAAAATTTTTCCTGGTAAAGACCTTTATGGCCATCTTTGAGCATTGGCCATTGTGCCGCCATCTCAGGTACCTAACACCATCCACTGAACTTTAACTTTCAAAAGATTCTTTAAAAGAATACCAGTGCCCTCTTCATGCAGCAGGAGGCATGTCAACTCTATAAAGGAATAGGCTTAAGTAGGAGATGATGTGCTAAAGAGTTGATAGTGATAACAGAAGCTTCTCAGAAGAAAATTAGGGTGAGAAAAGAGTATAAGGTATGTAGTACAGAAATACAAAGTCAGATGTTGAACTTCAAGTATGAAAAAGAAACCAAGAACTGATGAGCTGTTTTCATTCAAGCTCATGTTCCTTTGTAGATCAGAAGACTTCTTGGTTATACATGCTCGTGATGATTTAACAGCTGTCCAAGGTTCAACCCCATATACACATAGCAACCCTGGCACTCCAATCAATATGCCATGGCTTGGTAGCACACAGACTGGCAGAGGAGCATCTGTGGTATGTAAACTTAAAGATATTTAGATTTTTGCTCAACTGTCCTATTTATTCCCCTTTAGATTAATACATTAAAGGTGATTAAAAATGTTTTTTAGTTACTTAATTTTTAGTAAGTCCTATATGCTAAAATTATAAATTTTTCATTTGAAAGGGTAACAAAATTTGTTTTTAAAATATACTTTATGGGGCTAGAGAGATTGCTCAGTGGTTAAGAGCACTTGATATTCTTTCAGAGGGCCTGGATTTGCTTCCCAGCACCCACATGGCAGCTAACAATGGTCTATAATTCCAGTTCCAGGAGATCTGATGCCCACTTCTGGCCTCTACGGGCATTGCACACACATGATGCACTTAGCATGCAGGCTAAACACTCGTACACATAAATTTTAAAAAATCAAAAGAATTTTAACATAAATTGTGTTTATGTGCATTGTTTAAAAGAAAGAACTATATTTTTATTAATGATTATTTGGAACCTAATGGTCCAGACCAAGCTTAAGCAAGATATGGGCCATATACTAAGCCATGCCCTATGAAGCTAATACACTAAGAATAAGGTTTTTATTGAATTTTTGTGCATTTCATACAGAATATCTAAAACAATCTTAATCATCCTTATACCCCACTGGAACTCTCCCATAGCCCTCCAACTGGAACCCATATAATCTGTCATTTATGTTAAGGCCCACTGTGTCAAGTCAGTGTATACCCAGATGTTCCCTAGTTCAAGTCCATCCACTGAGGTCTAGTCAGCCTATCTAGAGTCCCTTGTTTAGGAAGATCAGCAATTCCTCACCTAGCAGTATTCAGTTGCCAATATTTCTTCAGCTAAGATTGGGATCTGCTGTTCATTTCCCTAGTTCTCTGCTGCCTAAGTTTGCATGGGACTTGTGTATGCTGATACCATTGCCATAGAATCATACAAGCAGGGACCCAGGAGCTTATAGGACTCTTTCCATATGGTCATGCACCTCCTCCCTGGCTCCTACAATCTTTCTGCCCCCTCTTCCATGATGGTCCTGAGCCCTGGGTGAGTGAAGTTTAGTATAGGAGCCCTGTCCAAGGACCAGCATTCTGCAGACTCTTATTCTCTACACTTTGGCCATTTGTGTTCTTTTGTGTTCTGTCGCCCCAGTTCTCTTAGGGTCCCTTGCTCCTGACGCAGGTAGACAAATCACATAACACATCTTTATCTGAATTTTGTATAGTTTATACCTTTGGGGTGGAGGGAGCAACTTACAAAGAAATGGACACCTGACGCCCAGCTCTGTGTGGCTCGGCCCGCCATTCCAGATCGCTTTTGCCCATGGTCTGCCTCATCTTGCATCTCGGCATGCCCACTCACCCCAAAGAGTTCTATGAGGGGTCCGCAGGGTCCTCACGAGGTCTCCCGGTGCCCCACAGGGTCCAGGGCAGTTTGGCTCACCTGCTCCCTATTCCCTGCTTCCCAGAATGGTGCCAATCCTTTCGTTCCAATCCCTCCCCACCCTAGGCTCCACCCTTCTTCCCAGGGTGCCCTGCGCTAGCCCATGGCTCTTCAGAGGAAGTCCAGGAGGACTAAATCATTTTCGGGCTACATGTTCCTGGTCCTCTATTGCATGAGGCAGCTTCATTAATGAGAATTGAGAGAATCATTCAGTCCTCTTCTTTACCCCTGTTCTATGTTCCATGAGTCTTGGGTATAGAGGTTGCGTTGTAGATGTGTTCCTTAGGCCTGGGCAATTCATAGACAATGTCTGTGTGTGACCAGTTGTGGTCCATACACGAATATATATATATACCTTTCCATATACCAATAACAAGCAGTTGGAGACTTGATAATAGTCTCTCACTGGTGCAAAATAAGCTTTGATGAGTGGTGATTGGGATATTTGTAAATATAAGGTTACATAATTTGCACATAGTAAGAAATTACATTAGTCTAGGGATGTGACAGTCTTGGGGTTTTCTCTTAAGATCTATGACCACTCCAACCATGTATATTTGGTTATGTTTACAGTACCACACTTACGTTTCCTCCCATTGAGAGTTTTAGTCCAATTAGGTAGCTGTTGATTGCCCCCAAGATAAAGGCACCACTACTGCACCAGTGTTGTATACTGTACCAACCATACCACAACATAATTAAAGCTATATACAACAAACCCATAACCAACATCATTCTGAATGGAGAAAAACTGGAAGCATTCCCATTAAAATCAGGAATCAAGGCCATCCACTGTCTCCACTCCTTTTTAATATAGTGCTTGAAACTCTTGCTGGAGCAAAATAGGACAAGAGAAGGAAATTTAAGGAGTGCTAACAGGAAAAGAAGAGGTCGAAGTATCCATTTTTGCGGATGATATGAAATTATATCCAAGAGATGCCAAAAATTCCACCAGAAAACTCCTAGAAATGATTAACACTGTCAATAAAGTGGCAGGTTATAAAATTAATCTGCAAAAATCAGTAGCTTTTCCATATACCAATAACAAGCAGTTAGATAGATAAAGAGTACATAAAAACCCTCCCATTCGCAATAGCCTCAAAAATAATAAAATATCTCAGAATAAACCTGACCAAAGACATTAAAGATCTCTACAATGAAAAATTTCAGTCTTTAAAGAAAGAGATTGAGGAAGACACCGAAAGATGGAAGGCCCTCCCTTGCTCATGGATTGGAAGAATTAATACTGTGGAAAACGACTATTCTACCAAAAGCCATTTATAGATTCAATGAAATGCCAACCAAAATCCCCATGACATTCTTCACAGTATTAGGAAAAAAAAAATCCTAAAATTCCTTTATTTTCAATAACATGCTTTCAGAAAAGCTGTTAAACTGTGTTTATTGTTTTATCATTTTTCCCATGATGTTTTGGTCACATACAAAAAGATAAAAGAGCAGGAACAATTTTTAATTGAGGGCATAGAATTTGGTGAACATGGTGGATATACCTATAATAATTCCAGCCCCCAGCAGTCTGAGGCAAGAGAATTGCAAGTTAAAGATGAGCCTCAGCTACACAACAAAACCTTGTTTCCTCTGCCCATACCCTCCCCATAAAAAGGACTTAATGTGAGATTTCAAGTAATATTTCATATATTCATCATGTTCTCAATTTTTTCTGGATTGGTAAAACATTTTCTGAATGTTCTCATGTTATTGAATGATGGATACTAGTGTACAAAGTGCACTTGTTAGAACCAGTTTCTGGTCTTTTGGAGTAGAACTCTCTATAGGGATTGTTCAGTGTCTGTCACTCACCTGTTGTAGAGGCCTACTTAGCCACCCTTAACGCCACACCCTCCACAACTGTCGCTAATTAAACAATTTAAAATCCCAAAGAACAAATAAAAAGTTAACCTCAAGATGATATACTGACTTAAAATAACATATAACTATAGTTTTGGTGCTATTTAAATAGAAATTATAAAATTTTTCCCTTTAATTGTGTGTATTTATTTACTCTTATTTGACAGACTAGTTAAATCATTCAGGGAATTGTTTAAAAGATAATCCCAAACCATCAATTAAAATTGAATTTAATTTTCTGTCTACCTCTTTTACTTGCAAATGCTTCTGTCTTTTTAACCAAATGTTATGCACGATTATGCCAGTAACTTAGTAGGATCAGGAAATAATTAACAAGAAAGGATGTAAGACTAAATTCTTGAGGGGAGTTGGTTTTTGAATTTCAGTTGATGATGTGTGTGTGTGTGTGTGTGTATGTGTGTGTGTTCTTGAATTTCAGCTGGTGATGCAGGTGTGTGTGTGTGTGTGTGTGTGTGTGTGTGTGTGTGTGTGTAAGACTGAATCCAGAATCTCACACATATTAGGAAGTGTTCTACCACTCAACTATACATCCCGCCCTACAATTTAAACTTTTAGTCGTATTTTTATTATAACCATAAAATAATTTTTCTTCTTTTAACAGATGATTAAGAAAGCCATTAATAATGTCAGAAGAATGACGTCTCATCCAACTCTTCCTTACTGTAAGTTGACAATGATTCTTTTTTATCTGTGCATCTATTTTCGATAAATTGTATGAGCTCTGTATGGGAAGCATTTAGTTTTAATTGAAAGATAGCCTTTATTCTACTTTGTGAGCTCTTTTGGGGGGGGCAGGTGGGGGTTGAGACAGGGTCTCCCTGTAGGCCTAGCTGGCCAGGAACTCTCTGTGTAAGACCAGGCTGGCCTTGATCTCACAGAGATCCACTGCCTCTCCCTCTCCAGTGCTGGGGATTAAAGGCATGTGCCAAACCTAGCTCACTTTTTTCTTTAATCTTCATTATCTACAAAGAAATTTTTTGTGAATATCATACACGAGTATAGTCTTTACAGCGATTCTATTGGGTTGCCCTCCAACTCCTTCAACATTCCTTCTCAATTTCCCGTCTTCTCCACTTGAAATTAGATAACCTCTCAGGGAGCTAGTCCCTGGAGAAACTGATTCTCCCTCCCTCAGCATCCATTGATTGCCTGCAGTTCTTAATCTTGAGGTTTGACTTCTTGACCACCTTGCTATGTTGGCTGGTTTTGTTATCATATGCTGATCTTCATAGGCTATCGCATTGTGGAGAGTTCATTAGTGAAATTTCCCTATCATGTCTAGAATACATTAACTAGCAACAGGTGTCTTGTATCTTTAGTTCTTAAAGCAGGCATCTTGTATCTCTGGTTCGTATATTCTTTGTGCCCCTCTTCCGTGATAGTCCCTGAGCCTTTGATGTAGAGGTTGCATTGAAGATGTGTCACTTAGGGCTGGACACCTCACAGACACTTATTCTCTGCATTTGACCAGTTTGTGGAATTTCATAATAGAGTCAGTCCATCTGTTGCAAAAAGTTCCTTTGATGAGTAGTGAGAAGTACACTTGTCTGTAAATATAAACATACATATTTAGAATATAGTAAGAAATTACATTGGTCTAGAGATGTAAAAAAGTGGATTTTTCTCTAGGGTCTATGCCATCTCCAGCTATATGTACTTGAGATTTTTACAGTGCTATGTATGAGTTCCTTCCCATTATGCAGGCCTTAAGTCCAATTAGACAGCTGTTGATTACCCTCAAGATAAAATAACCACTACTTCACCAATAGAGATTATTTGCTGTGCCAGTCATTGTTATGATTTGTAGACTTTACAGCTGAGTAGGACCACTGATTGGTTTTGTCCCTTGGCAGCTTTCATACTATCTTCTTATACTATGAGAGCTAGTCTTGAGGAAGGAGGCTTCCAGGTAGTTCCAGCTCAGTTGCTCCAAGTTTTGTGTCTAAAGTATGTCCTATCTTCAGCAGTAGGGTTTTACTTTCAAGTTCTGAGAGGAAATCAAGGACTGTGGCAATAGCACATATTATTTTGGTAGTCTCTTGGACTCTTCTGGCCAGCAACTCAAAGAGAGATTTTCCCCTGCCTGGCATTGTCATTTTTGTTACGTAGCCTTCAGCTACATAACATATGCGTGTGTGTGTGTGTGTGTGTGTGTGTGTGTGTGTGTGTGTTAGTATGCTTTTGAAGTAATATGTTTCCCTTTGGTTTTTCATTAGCACCTAAGTATTATTTATCCCTCTTTTGTCTCCCCCCCCCCGTATTCTTTCCCTATTCCCTCACCAGTAAAAATAGCCCCCATTTTTCCATTTCTCCCTTTATAACACCTGTCTACTAGTATCCCCCTCTCTTGAAGTCCTTCTTCCCCTTTACCTTCATGGTTCCTTTGCATTTTCTGGCCCCTGGGTTACACCAGGATTTATATTTACATCTAAGGACTTGGAGCTAGGATCTAGAAATGGGAGAGAACATGCATCACTTGTTTTTTCTGAGTCGAGTTGTCTCACTTGGAGTAACAGTTTTAAGTTCCATCCACTTACCTGAAAATTTCATGATTTCATTTTCCTTTACTGCTAAATAGATTGTCAGTGTTTAAATGTACCACATTTTCATTAACCATTTGTTGGTTGAGGAACATTTACGTTGTTTCCACTTCCACATATTGTAAAAAGAGCAGCAATAAGCATGACTGTGGAAGTATTTCTGTAGTAGGATGAGTCCACTGGGTATATACCGAGGTACCACTGCATGGTATAGCTGGATCATATGGATGATCTATTTTTATTTTTTCAAGAGTTCTCTATGATGATTTCCACAGTGGCTGTACCAGTTTGCAATGCCACCAGCAGTAGATGAGGTTCCCCTTTCCTCACATCCTCACCAGCATTTGGTATCATTTGTTCTCTTGATCTTAGCCATTCTGAATGGGGTAAGGTGAAAACTTCAATTTACATTTTGCTAATTACTAATGATGTTGAACATTTTTAAGGTATTTTTGCATTCATTTTTTCCTTTGAGAACTCTCTTCAGAGCTCTAGCCCATTTTTTTAAAGTTTTTTTTAATCTATTTTTATTTTATGTATATGAGTGTATTGCCTGCATGTATGAAAGTGCACGTGTCATGCAGTGCCCACACAGGTCAGAAGAGGGTGTTGGATCCTCTGGAACTAGAGTTAGAGTGGTTGTTAACCACCATGTGGGTGATGGGAACTGTACCTGGGTCCTCTGCAAGAACAGCCAGTGCTTTTAACTACTGAGTCATCTCTCTAGCCCCAGTAACCCTTTTTTAATTGGGTCATTAGTTTTGTTGATTCTTTGTTTTTTGTTTGAATTTTAAGTTGTTTGTTTTTTTGAGACAGAGTCTCCCAGTAGCCCCAGCTGGCCTGTAACTTGCTATGTATACCAGGCTTGCCTTGATCTCACAGAGATCCACCTGCCTCTGCCTGTACCTCCTGAATGTTTGGAATAAGGGCATTTGCCACCATGCCTGACTTGATTCTTTGTGGTTTGAGTACTTTGTATATTCTAGATATTAATCCTCTGTCAAATGTATAGCTGGTAAAGATTTTCTCCCAGTCTGTGGGCTTCCTCTTCACAGATAGGTTGGTTTTTGTTTTTGTTTTTTTTTTGTACAGAAGCTTTTTAGTTTATTGAAGTCCCACTTGTCAAATGTTGTCCTTAATCCCTGAGTGACTGAAGTCCAATTTAGAAAGTCCTTTCCTGCACCGATATCTTGTAGGTACTGCCTATGTTTTCTTCTAAAAGTTTCAGCATTTCAGGTTTCACATTGAGGTCTTTGATCCATTTGGAGTTGACTTTTGTGCAGGGTGGTAGGTATGGATCTTATTTCATTCTTCTACAGGTGGAGATCTGGTTTTTCCAGTACTGTTTGTTGAAGATGCTTTCTTCCAGTGTGTTCTTGGCACCTTTGTCAAATTGTCAGGTGGCTGTAATTGTATGCACTCATGTTGGGGTCTTCTATTATGTTTCATTGATATACGTGTCTGTTTTTTGTGCCAGTATCATGCTGCTTTTTGACTATAGCTCTGTAATACAGTTTGATATGTGGTATGGTAATCCCTCTAGCATTTCTCTGTGTGTTCAGGATTGCTTTGGCCATCCAGGATCTTTTGTGGTTCCATACAAATTTTAGGATTGTAATTTCTTTCTTCAGTGATTTAAAGTTTTTATTATAGAGAGATCTTTAATGTCTTTAGTTAGGTTCCTAGGTAGTATTCTTCTTTTGAAGCTATTATGAATGGGACAGTTTCTATGATCTCTTTCTCTGACAAGTTTTCTGGGATCACTTTTTTAAAATATTTTTTATTTATTAGTTTTATTTTATGTGTATGAGTGTAATGCCTGCATATATGTAAGGACCTGAGTCATGCAATGTCGATGGAGGTTATAAGAAGGCATCGGATTCCCTTGGGACTGTTACATACAGTTGCTAACCACCATGTGGGTGCTGGGATTCAAACCTGGGTCCTCCGCAAGAGCAGTCAGTGCTCTTAACCACTGAGCCGTCTCTCCAGCCCCATGGGAGCTCTTATGTATAATGTATCATCTGCAAATAGGGATACTTTGACCTCTTCTTTTCCAGTTAGTACCCCTTTAATTTCCTTTATTGCTCTAATGAGGGTTTTAAGCACTATACTACTTTTTTAAATGTTTGCTAGTAAATGAAATCATTTCAAAATTGGATTAAAACTGGAAAAGGAAATTTTCTTGACTTAATGGAGAAGACTAAATTAATGTATTAACTATTTGGCATTTTTTACTGCATATTTCTAAATTAGTGCCTTTTATCGTTGAATATTTCTGTATTTAGACAACACAAATTGAAATTGATTATTGTCTTAATAGTAGGATTACTGTCTTATTTTAATGCATAAATGAATCATACCTTGGTGGTTTATTGCTTGATTATAATCAGTTTGTATTTTACCAAATTTTGCCAGCTTGTATTTTGTCAGATACATTAATAGCTATATTTTTTAATTATTAGTAAATTCTCATAGTTTAAGGCAGGATTTTTTTTTTTTTCTTTCAGTTTTTCCTATGAATCTCAAAAGTTTCCTTTAACCCAAAAATTACTGGGGAATTTATTGTAGACATTGATTAAATGACAGGTTAGAATAAATACTCATATTGCTATATAAGTATCCTGAGGGTTTTTTTTTTTTTAATACAATTTTATGTCATTCCCTTCCTAGTCAAAGAGGGCATATTAATTTAAGAGTTATTCATGTTCTGGCCAGATATGGTGGCATAAATCTTTAATCCCAGCATTTGGGATTAATCATTGGGGAGTTTTAACCACCCCTTGTACAGTTGTTATCCTTCGAATGTCCTATGTAAACTGTTCTTCTGGGTATAAAACCTTCCAGAAACGCCTTAGTACCGAATTTGGTTTTCTATCAGTTTTTTCTCTGGGGATTTGGGCTTGACATAAGTCTTGCCACATTTGTCTTCGAGTAACTCAAGTGGACCATTTCCCCTGTCTTGTCTTTTTTATATCTCTTATAGGGTGTTCTGTTATTTCATAGACATGTTTTACATGCTGGTCAGAATCATTTAGATTTGCCAAAGGGCCTCTTTCACTTTACAAAGATCTTGTCCCATCAAAGGTTTTAGTAAAGCCATTAAAGCCCCATACCATTCG